GATCTGGTTGTTGGCAATTTTAGTTTTTCAATCACTTTTTTATTGTGCTTGGCTGATTAATTTCTGGTTGTTTTATTGTCCCATATCTTCCAGATTTTAAATCAGATTGACTTGTGACATGTCAGTCTTTGGTTGGTTGAAATTTTGGTTGATTTAATGAAACAAAATCAACTGAAAGTTGTGTAGTCACTCCCTAAAATTATCACATGCGAGAATGAAACCTGGCCTTCACCATCCATCACCTCTGTGCTTCCTAGTTTGGTGAAAGTGGCCCATGACAACATTGTATACAACCCAATTGATTGCTACTTTTGTTTTTTCTTTCTCTATTTTTTCTTCATTTATTTCGGCCCAAGTTGAGCAGGATTCGATAAATCTAAGGAGAGTAATTTGACCTAACAAGCAGTTGTACAAACACTTTTCAGTGAGTTTGTAGAATAACCGTTCCCTACTAGTAGGAGTACAGACTTTACTCGAGTTATACAAAAGTTGTTCGGGATTTTTTATGATCTGTCCCATGGGTATAATTTTCTTTTGTTTCATGGGTTTCATGATTTACTCGATGTCCACAATTGTTGTGGAATGTCCAATTTTACTTAAATATGTCTATTAGACAATATGGGCCAACAAGCTGCGGAAAGCCCAATTTTGCTTTAGATGTCTAACGTAAACAAACACAAATTGTGATAATCCTAGGAAATATCACTATCATGCACCTTAACATGCATGCCTCCACATGGACTGAACCACGCACACAAAATGGAACACCACCACAATTTCTCCTTAAAAACCACCCACTTATCCTACTGACTACATCTTCGGTCCATCCCTGCCCCAACGGCCTCCGGACCTTAACCAACCAGGGGAGAAAGGTACACAACTCTCACTTGTTGAAGTAAAGTAGAAACACATGTTTGTCCATAATTGGGGACAGTGCTATACACATATATAAACTCTACAGGGCATGCACGCTTATACCCACAAGATGTCTATCATTAGCGGCGCTTTGCCTAGGCTGACGTTGGGTATTTGTCTAGTTGGTATGATACCACCCTACCTTTAGCCCTTAGTCACATAGGAGTATCATGAGAACCTTGATGCCATGAAATGTTGTATTTGGCCACAGCGAAGCACTATGGGTCTCACCTCAGGAGCATCAGAGTCTTCGCGCTGTCCTCCTATTGTCTCCTCCATCCTATGCAGGTTGGTATTACCCTAACTAAGTCACATTTGACCCCTCCCATAACAAGACAAGTGGTGTGTACGAGCATTATCAAGTCCTTAAGGGACCGTGCAAGACATCCTCCGAGGGAAGCCCCACTTCACTTCCCGTGCCCATCACATGCACATCCTTCCCGAAAACTCGCCCCACACATAGTCTAGTTCGTGTGGACTCCTCGAACCATCGTACCCATCACAGGTACCCTTAATTAGAAAGGCACTTAGATCACATCTTCCTGACTCGACGTTGCCCCAAGACTAGTCACACTTTCTTGCCTGATCAAAACCTCACTATGCACCGAAGATGCACACTAAAATTCTCTTGCCCGAGTATAACAATAAGGATGGCACTAGGTGGCTAAGCCACACTCAAACACACCTAGGCAAGTTTATAAAGCTAGATCACACTGGATAAGAAATTTAGAATTGAAGAGGTTCGTATGATTTCTTAATACCTCCATTTTCCTATGTTTGACCCCAGTGATTGGAAACATTTTTTTTTTGAAACGAACCGGCGGGAGAGCTTCCCGCTATATTAAAAAGAAGGAGAAGCCAGACGGGCACTGGCAATTGGAAACTTGGGCTAATTATTAACACAAATGTTTTTATTGACAATGTCAAATATAAAGAAACGGGGGTAAGTAACAAATTCTTTAGGAGAAAGCCCACTGGGCCGAGTGTTTAGAGGACTAGCTCACCAAAGTAGGCCCCTGAACGCAGTTGATGAGTTAAGTGCATGCCCTAACCCCTATCCGGATCATCTTTGACTGGGCCTAGCGATTCCTAGGCCACCTAGGAATGGAGATCGGAGCTCCATCCAGTATGTCAATGGTCGGTCTCTCGCTACAGAAGAAAAGGAGGAAGGTGTGTGGCGGTGGCTGTGCGCTGTGACTCAGAGTTTAGGGATCGGAAACATGAGATGAGATCCTTGAGCTAGAAGCTGACCGCGCCCTGAGTTTGATTGAACGTTGCAAGCTGTGGCCTATATGGTAGAAGAATGAAAAGAAAGCTGATCGATGTGCATGCCACACATTTCCAAATCATCTTTTAGCATCACGCGCTAACGCGCCTAGACTGTTTCCTTGTTTCACTTGTTCCCAAGTAAAAAGTAGTGCGGAACCGATCATGCACAGCTAGCACTTGACAGAGACAGGAGGATGAGTGCAGCGAATGGAACAAGAGCTAGGCAAATATATAACCATGCGCTAATAAGGGTGACACTGCAGGATTAGGGACTTCTTTTGACGGGTTCTGGTCTGTTAACACATCATGTTCATGCCTCCCCTGATAAAACATGCACCCTACTGTAGTTAGGCTGGAGACCGGCCGCGGTCGGTGACTGTAAATTCAGCGCCAGATTCCATTGTGCTGTGCACACATTCGTCGACGCGAGCGTCGTAGCAAGTTGTTGCAAGGCAATACGGCAAGCGAACGGACCCGTGTCTGTACTCCGTACTCCGCAGGATCGTCGCCACGTGGGCTGCCGCGCGCGGTCGGATCTTGCGCGCCAAAGATGCAACATGCAAAGGCAGGGAACCGACCACCCTGACCACCGTTGACCGTGTCTGGAGCCGCTGAATGCTACTGCTGGCTTACTTTTTGTCGTTTTTATTATTATTATTATTATTCCGGCCATTCGATTCACTGCTGAAAGAGCAAAGTGCGAGTGCCGAGATCCGATGCCGCCTCGATCTCCATTGAGCACCGAACCTTAAGTTGTTAGGCCTGAACTTTCGTAGACTTCCGCCACCTCCAGCAACCTCTACTGTCATCTCCGGTGACCTCACCGGAGAGATCCGGTGAGTTGAAAAACTTGGCACCAACAACTCTTTTCAAACAGTTTCGCAAGCATGCTAAGTCCAAATGTGTTCCATGGAACACCTGGAACACCTTCACCTTTAAGCACTGAAGCATTTTCCAAAGGATGTTCAAAACATTTTCACTTGCTTTTCATCACGTTACTAGGTCTAATGTATATGCAAAGAATGTCATCACCAAGTGGTACTAGATAACCGCAATTGCTTTAGAGATCCTCTCTTAATAGTACGACTATCTATCCTAAACCCGACTTGTGCACTCTATTGCACATTGGCCGTCAAAAGTAAGACCGTATTGACCTTTGCCTTCGGGCTTGCTTTCCATCTCTTTCTTCTTCATTGCAAGGAGATGCATGTCTTTTTTTATACTATGTGTTACTAGGAAATTAAGCAAGTTGACAGGCTGCTTATTTGGTCCTAAAATTACTTGGATACCTTGTATTTCAAGGCAGAAGAGTAATGAAAAAACTGGGTAATTCAGACATTAGTTTAAGTGTTTACTTTTATATTACTTTTCATAATACCATAGGTAGGCAACTTAAATGAAGTTTTAAGTGGGTGCTTTAGATTATTTTTCATAATACAAAGGTAGGTAGTTAAAATATAGATATAAGGCTTACTTTAGAGTATTTTCTTACAATGTTTTTTTTTCAGTGATGATGAGAACCTACTCTCTTCGTTCCAAATTGTAAGTCTTTATAGCTTTTTGTAGTTACATAGTTTTTACTATATATGTATATAAAAGCCAGAACGACTTACAATTTGAAAAAAAAAAGACAAAGTATCGAATTTAGAGCGGTTTGATAATGTTTTTTTTATCTCATTTTTTAGCGCATCTAAAGACTTCAAAAGAGGAAACGAACTCAGAGCATGATATCTTACTTTTTTAAAGTAAAACGACATGTAAATGTAACTCATACATCTTGGTTATCATTTCAACACGTTCTCCCTCTTGCACTCTGAATCTCTGATTCCTTTCAAGTTTCAAGCAGCACCACCATAGCATAACAAAAAATAGCACCAGTAAACCTATTCACACCGCTATGTAGCTACACGCGTGTTGGTAGTATATGCAGGGGAAGAAAACACAGAGGATTCAGTGCATATAGCGTAACCAGAGCCCCATCAGCCCGACTCGGACGAGCAGCCTCTGCCCCACCGCTCTCCTTTCCGACGCCAGCTAAGCCCCCACGCGATACGTGGATCGCGCAACGTGTGAAAAGCGATTGCCAAAACCAGCTTCCACGTGTCAACTCCTCCTACCCCGGCGAACGTTCGCCAGTCGCCGCTGCTGCGAGGAGCCGCTAGCTCTGCAGAAAGGGGGAGGATACAGAGGTCCTGAGTATCAGCCTGACCGTGACGCCTCAACCGAGCTGTTTAGGACGTTTTTTTTGGCTCATCAAAGGGTAGCATGATAAGTTTAGTGTAGTCGGCATGCTTTCAGTTTCAGATATTGAGATATATGCTGCAAGATCGGCTGGTCTGTGCTCCTTGAGAGGCATCTTTCGAGATGTCATTTTCGCGAGAAATAAAGAAAACGAAAGTTTTTCTGGATGTCTTCAGCGTGGTGTATTTCCAGGAAGGAGCAGAAAGGGCAAAAGAACAGAGGGGAGTTTTTTTTAATAAATGATAAAAAAGGAGATAAAAATAAAATGTCAGTGCTCGCTGATGCTAAGAGGAAACAGCGGTTCAGTGCGTCACCCAGTCGCAACGACCGCAGAAGCCGTAGCGGTCTTGCTTATAAATAGGCCTCTCCACTTGCAGCGCTCCATCGACAGCATCGGAGCGCTCGCAAAACCTCCACACCTTCCTGAAATAGTAGCCACTAGCTTGAGCTGCTCCCCTTGGACCGATCGATCGAGCTCCTTGCTTCCTGATCATCATATACTCTCACTAGTTCTATCATATCAGCCTTCCACACGGATTTATAGCTAGCTACCAGATCGATCAGCACCGTAACTGATGGAGTTTGACCTGCTGAATTACAGCCCGGAAGCGCAGCTTGAGCTGATGAACACGATGCTCCAGCTGGAGCAGCTCACTGCTCTGGACGGCCATCAGTCGCCGACGATGGCACCTGTCTCGCCGCCGATATCCCCGATGCAAACCCATGCAGGTCACAGCTTTTCGCCTCCGCCACACATGTCGACGACCACGACCACCACCGGGTACCCAGCAGAGCAGTACACACCGCCGCCAGCGGCCGCCGTGTATGCCGCCGCTACCGGCGGCCTCGAGCACCTCCAGGACTGCTACGTGCTGTCGTCGTCCCCGGGCGGCGCCGCGGCGGCCGCTCCGCAGCAGGCCATGGGGTCGTCGTCGCCGACGTCGTCGGCGGACGCGATGCGGGAGGCGGTCTTCCACATCGCCGCGCTGCAGCCGGTGGAGATCGACCCGGAGGCGGTGCGGCCCCCGAAGCGGCGCAACGTGCGCATCTCCAAGGACCCGCAGAGCGTGGCGGCGCGGCTGCGGCGGGAGCGCATCAGCGAGCGCATCCGCACCCTGCAGCGCCTCGTGCCGGGGGGCACCAAGATGGACACGGCCTCCATGCTGGACGAGGCCATCCACTACGTCAAGTTCCTCAAGTCCCAGGTGCAGTCCCTGGAGCGCGCCGCCGCCACCACCCACCGCGCCGCCACGCTCGGGGCCGCCTACCCGGCCTTCCACGCGCCGTGGCAGTACGCGCTGCCCCACGGCGACATGTGACGAACGAACGCCACGGCAGCGCGTGCCCGCCGTTTGGCGTCTCGATGGGACGACGACGACACGACGGCCTCTGCTGATGCTCTTGTAGCGTTGTGTGTGCATCAGCTAGCTAGCGCATGATCACATACTTGTGTCAAGATGTAGGAGCTAGCCTTGATACATTTATTGCTGTAGTAGCCGCATACGGCATACGACGTGGTTGCTCCAATTTTTTGTTGGAGTCGCAGCCCGTGCATGCGCGTGAGTAGTACGTACGTACTTGCTCTACCCTACGTAGGCTGTACATTTACATTGTACCCCCTTGTTTTCTTCTATCCATGGAGTGGTTCATCATCTTCGCACGCTAGCTAGCGAGCTTTCGCAGTAGACAACAGTGTGATGTGTGGTCCTTAAATTTCGTTCGCATGCGCCCCAGGGCAAGAAGCACGCATGTCCTTTCTCTCCTTCATTGGTGCAAGCGACTGGCAAATCGGCCGACAAGACAAGCTAAGTTGACCGTCCATCAATGGAGACGGTGGCCGTGTCTCCGCTCCCGGCCGATTCAGGCTTATCTCGCGTCACGTCGATCCGTGCATGTCGTCTATTTGCAATCGCACGCAGACGCAACCCAAGCAGGCGCAGGATGAAGAGAAATCATGCGCTGTTACATCTAGCGATCGAGCCGCAACATGCAACGGTAAATCAGCCGGGCGGCTGGGCGGCCCTGGCATGCATGCTTGTAGGCTGTAGCAGTAGTAGATGCAGGTGCTCACCCGTTTCTGTCGGGCGCCGCTTCGTCGCCGCATGTGGCGGTGTCCGCCGGCCGGCCGGCCGGCCATGAACAGTTGGTGCCTGAGGAGGAGGTGGTTGCCGTTGTTTCGAAACCGTTGCGGAATTATGAGCTAGGCCGCAGGGCCCCACCGTGGATAGTGTTCGGTAATGTTGGCTCGCACCTCGCAGGCACGCAGCATGTGTGTGTATATCGTCACTTCATCATCGACCATGCATGGACCGGCCGGAATCGCAACAAAATTTAAGCATCACATGGTTGCAGCACGGAATATACAAAACGCTCAAGAGATCTGCCGCTGATCTTGCAGCTACAGTGGGGTGGGTTCATGATGCTCAATCATTGTTCATCTTTATCTGTAGTACGGGCACTAATTAACGAAATAATTTAGGACCTTCATCAGAAGCATTTAATCTCTCCACTGCAGCACGAAACAGAGCAGGTTTGCTGCTGTCTGAAAGATTACACTGTATTACTGTACGCATTGAATTGAAGATGAACTTCGCCATCAGATAAGCCACGATGGATCGATGACCACACGTATGGATCAAAACACATACTCCCGTGTAGATTTCTCACCAGTCCATGACTACCATTAGGTCAACACAGCAAGCTAAGCCATGCTGGATCATCCTGCTCCTGGACCACGAGATGTGTGCGATCTCCGCCGTGAATTCCCCTGCTGTCCGGTGGCTGTTCGATGGTATATATCTTTTTCACGACACACACTGTAGTTTAATCTTTTGATCCACTTGAGAGATGAGAAGGACGGTTGGCGGCATGGCACTGTGGGCCGTTATGACGTATGGGCATGCAAAACGGAGTGGAGACTGGAGCAGAGACTAACCGACTGATGCTGAAATTTGCCTGTGCTTCGTACGAGTATATGACACGAATGAAAGCAAAGCCGAGAGATGCTCTGTGGTATCTTAATGGCCAGATATGGGTGACGGTGAATCAAAAGAATGCAATACTGTACACTAGCACTAGTACAGATGAATAGGTGATAAATTACACACGGCCCATGTCATTGTAGCGGAGGACTGACTGATTATTCCGCGGGTGGAAAAGAAGAAAGCGGATTCCACATACGATGAACAAGGCACTACTGGCTCGATCACTGAACACACATCAATCGGCATCTCAAAGATGCTACAAATCTATCACATATCCGTGCCTTTTCGGATTTCGATCGATTGTCACACGTGTCAATTAAAATCAACATTTGGCGAGCTCTGCCTCCTCCTAAAATTGCTCTGACCTTGATTTTTTGGTGGAACGGCTTCTCCAGTAAAGCTAAACGCTTGCTAAAAACATTTAGCAAAATGATTTATATAATATTTTCAAAAAAAGAAACGATAGAAACTAAAAGTTTTAGTTCTAGCTCCTACTTTAAAAAGAGCTTCAGCTCCTTGATGGTTTAAGAAGCGGAAGTGTAGGCATCTCTCGGGCTTCTTTTGGAAGCCTACAAAGGAGGGACGGAGCTCGGTTCAAACTAGGTGTTGTTTAGTTATAGCATCGGTAACGCAAATGGGATGGAATTAAAGCTGTGGACGTTACCGCAAGACATACCATTTGAACTATTTTTATTTCCATTTGTGTTACTGTTGTACGAACCAAACAGCATGTCAACACGTAAGTTGGGACATGACCCCTCCTATCTATTATGTTCTCTCTACTACTGTCTAAATAGTAACTTTGGTACTGTTTATGAGTAGATAATAATGCTTAATATATAGACTGGCCCCTCCTACATGGTTGGTCAAGCTCCACCACTGCTACAAAGAGACCTAATCCACGGCCTAGAGAGCTCCAACAAACTTGTCAGTACAAGTCTAGGACCGACCATTGCAGGGCTTGTTTAGATCAGATAGGAATAGTTATTAATTGAGACAAAAAATTAAAGTTAGCTAGTTAGTTGGCTAAAAATTTAGCATTCCTATTAGCTTCTGTTTATTAGATAAGTTAAAGCTAAAAATTATTTGACTAATAGTTAACCCTATTCATCGAACGGACATGCAGCAGGAATATTCTCAAGCTACTAGCTTAGAGCAGTTTGTCATCAGCCCATCCATCTCGCCTGTCGGCAACAAGAACGTGCGAATCAGCAGCAGCAGCTCACGGTCTGAGCTGATGGAGAGGAACAGAGACGACGACCGGCGAGCTCCCCAAGTCAACACCGCGACTGCCGGATCGCTGCCACCTGGTGGAGCCACCGCCGGATGCGCGGCACGTAGCGGTCGCCCGCGGACACGCGTCGGGCGGGAAGCGGGCGCGGCCCCGCGCGCGGGGAGGTCGGGCTCGGAACAGGATCCGCGCGAGATCTTGCAGGGGCGCAGGTGCATCCCGCCTCGCCGAGGCTTGCGAGCGCGGGTGGTGACCGGGCGGGAGGCTGTGTTGGAACACGAACTAGGAATCGCACCATCAGCAGCGCACCACCAGCACCAGGACGGCCGGGCCGCGGGCGGACGGCGCCGTATCTCCCCGCGATCTCTGTCCCCTTTGGTCGCTCCGATCTTCTTCAGTTGTTGCTCGACGCTTCCTTTTGTTTTGTTTTAGGTTTGTTCAACTTGAACACGCTTTTTTCTTACCGAAACAATGAGGCTGCGCCGTGTGTAAAGTATTTTTTACTTGTTTATTATGAAGGTAGTATAATATAATATCGGTCTCGTTCACATTTAGTTTGTCTTTGAGATGGATGGCAAAAGAAGTTTATGCCTTGATTATCAGAGGCACCAATACAGTATGATTCGTCTATGACAGATAATCCACCGGTGATCCAGAGCTGATGCAAATCGGCTGCTACAATGACACGGTAATTGCAGCTGATCAGCGTCCCAGATACAAATCGGGCGCCACTGACGCTTTGTGATGGTTGCCTGATTTTGGAACATTTAGTTTGGATATTATTGAGAGGGATGACATGTGGGCAGGCATTTGCAGCTTTCTCATCATCCCAATAATCCTTGCTTTGAGTCCCCTATCTATCAAGATCATTGTGTGGGGGCCGGTCCTGATTTGGGTCCGGGCACCAACCCTCAATGGAATTGCTTGGGGCGAAGGCTGGTGGATGCTGCTGCCCTCGCGAAAGAGCATTGCTTGGGCAGGATGCATGCACCTGAACCACCAATGGAGATCAATGGACCAGCCTGATAGGTATGTCAGTATATGTCTCATTGGACAATACTTGAGGGAAGACCAAAGGAGACAGAGATAATGACGCAGTGTAGGCCACAACAAGATATAACTTTGCAGATTATACGTATATATAGCTCTACAACTATTTAGAGGAATAATAGTCTTTATTCCGGTCTCCCTAGGAGGCTAGGAGACATGCACTCCATTATTACAATTTTTTTTCTTCCAGGGACCTGAATTTCATTATTGAGAAGGAGCAATGAGCCAACGAAGTTACAGTCTTCACCTGTCTGAGCACCCATTATACTTAGCTCTACGGCCGTAATAATAGTATGAAAGAGATTTTCAGAAGATAATCTTGTGTGTTGTGTCTACCTACCATGAGCAGCTGAGCACTACTCCAATGTTTTTTCTTTCGCCATGATGCACCTGTTTCTTAAGAACATCGTTGATTTGACCTAAATTCATTACACTCTTGGATATTTGCTCCCTTCAGGATCACACCAAACATTCTCTCTGCTGCTCGGTAGTAGTAGTACATCCAAGCCGGACGGTCAACAGGCAGCAGAGCACGGCAGCGTTGCTGCCCGACCAAGCGAAGGGCCACATGGGCCGGCTCTGGTCGCGCTAGTAGCCTGGGCGGCTACTCCGCCGGCCGGTTGGCCCCCCATCCCAAGCGCTCCCGACGACGGCGACCGGCAGACAGCCAACGAGGGCTGCAGAGCGGCACCACCGCGGCAGGGCCGGCAGCACGCGGGATCGCGTACCCGGTCGTTGGAAATTGTAGGTGCGCCGCATTGAATGGCGACGTTTGCGTCTACTGGGGGCGTGCCGCCGCCCGCCGATGAGCGACGAGGGCTACTGGCTGGGTCGCCTGACGGACGGACGTACCGACGACGGTTGGGAGGGTACTTGAACAGTTGAAAGCGCGGCTGCGATCGAGGGTGGTCCGGTGACTGGGCGGCGGTTTGGTCCTGCATTCCTGGCCGGGTAGATTCCACGGGAAGCTAGGCCACCGGATTGTGCAGACTGCAGACTTGCACTGCTCAAGTAGTCAGATTTTTTTTTTCTATTAGCTTACTAGTCCCCATTG